GATTTTTAGATTCTTCCTGATTGAGTTTTGGAAGGTTGTATTTTTCTAGGAATATGTCCATTTCCTCCAGGTTGTCCAATTTGTTGGAATAGAGTCGTTCGTAGTATTTTGTACCAATCCTTTGTATTTCGGCAGTGTCTGTTGTTATTTCACCTCTTTTGTTTCTGATTTTGTTTATTTGGGTCCTCTCTGTTTGTTTCTTGGTTAGTCTGGCTAGAGGTTCATCAATCTTGTTTATCCTTTCAAAGAACCAGTTCTTGGTTTGGTTGATCTTATGTATTGTTTCTTTGGTCTCTATGTAATTTATCTCCGCTCTGATTTTTGTTATTTCTTTCCTTCTGCTTACACTGGGCTTTTCTTATTGCTCTTTTTCTAACTCTTTGAGTTGTAGAGTTAGATAATTTGTTACCATTTTTTCTTGTTTTTTTGCAATAGGCTTGTAGAGATATGAACTTCCCTCTCAAAACTGCTTTTGCTATGTCCCATAGATTTTGGATTGTTGTGTTTTCATTGTCATTTGTTGCCAGGATGTTTTTAATTTCTTCCTTGATTTCTCTAGTAACCCAGTCCTTGTTCAATAGCATGCTATTTAGTCTCAATGTGTTTGATTTCTTTGGATTATTTTTATTGTAGTCGATTTCCCATTTTATGCCACTATGATCTGAGAAGAAGCTTGATATTATTTCTATCTTCTTGAATTCGAAGAGATTTGCCTATGTCCCAACATGTGGTCTATCTTTGAAAATTACCCATGTGCACTTGAGAAAAATGTATATTCTGTGGCTTTGGGGTGAAATGTTCTGAAGATGTTGATTAATTCCTTTTGGTCTAGAGCGTCATTTAGGATTGATGTTTTTTTTTGCTGATTTTTTGTTAGATGATTTGTCTAAAGGTGACGGTGAGGTATTAACCTGTTAACCGGGGAGTTCCCTTTTTAATTACGTAATGTACAACAGGCACATACTCTTTCACTAGGATGTGTCAGTACATCACACCCAGCGGATGTAATTTTATATTATTATTATTTTTATTTATACTTAATTAAAATAAATGAAATATATATTTTTTTGTTTATTTATATATAAAGCACAAAGGAAGATACAAAATTACAAACAAATAGAAAAGAATACCAACAAAAAAATGGAAACATCGAATTAAAAATTTATAAATTTTACAAACAATTATAAAGATTACAGCCGAAGCTGGTTTGGCTCAGCGGTAGAGCATTGGTCTGCGGACTGAAAGGTCCCAGGTTTGATTCCAGCCAAAGGCATGTACATTGATTGTGGGCACATCCCCGGTAGGGTGTGTGCAAGAGGCAGCTGGTCAATGTTTCTCTCTCATCAATGTTTCTAGCTCTCTATCTCTCTCCCTTCCTCTCTGTAAGAAAATCAATAAAATATATTTTAAAAAAAAGATTACAAAAAATATATACCGTCCCTCTCAGGGCGCAACATATATTTCAAGGACGTATTCATATGTCCTACCCGTTCCTGATAGTGTTTATGTTTGACGTATTTATAGGTCCCTACTATGATTGTATTGCTGTTAATCTCTCCTTTAATGTCATAAAGCAGTTTTTTTTTTAAATGTATTTGGGTGCTCCTGTATTGGGTGCATATATGTTTATCAGGGTTATTTCTTCTTGTTGGATTGCTCCCTTTAGTATTATGAAATGGCCTTCATTATCTCTTATGTCCTTCACTTGAGATCTAATTTGTCAGATATAAGTATTGCTACCTCAGCTTTTTTTTTCATTTCCATTCACCTGGTAAACCTTTTTCCATCCCTTCACCCTCAATCTGTGTGTGTCCTTTTTTCTGAAATGGGTTTCTTATAGACAGAAGATATATGGGTCTTGTTTTCTTATCCAATCTGTTACCCTATGTCTTTTGATTGGAGCATTTAATCCATTTACATTTAAAGTTATTATTGATAGGTACTTATTTGACGCCATTTTTATTCTATACCACTGTGTTCCTTCTTCGCTTTCTATTTATTTATTTTTACAGTAGACCCTTTAGCATTTCTTGCATTGCTGGTTTGGTGGAGATAAATTCCTTTAGTCTTTTTTTGTCTGTGAAGCTCCTGATTTCACCTTCAATTTTGATTGATAGTCTTGCTGGGTACAATATTCTTGGATTCAGACCCTTCCTTTGCATGACTTTGTATATTTCATCCCATTTCCTTCTGGCCTGATGAGTTTCTGTTGAGAAATCAGTTGCTAGTCTGATGGGGGTTCCTTTATATGTAACTTTCTGTCTCTCTCTGGCTGCTTTTAAGATTCTTACTTTGTCATTGGTGTTTGCCAGTTTAATTATAATGTGCCTTGGCATCGGTCTTTTGGGGTTCATTTTGCTTGGGACTTTGTGAGCATCTTGGATTTGTGTGGGTTTTTTCTTCTCTATCTCAGGAAAGTTTTCTGTCATTATTTCTTAAAATACGTTTTCCATGTCTTCCTCAGTTTCCTTTTCTTCTGGAACCCCTATTATTCTAATATTGTTTTGTATTGTCCCAAAGTTCCCTTAGGCTCTCCTTCTGCTTTTTAATTTTTATTTTTTTCTAGAAGCTGCTCTAATTGGGTATTTTTTTCCATCTTGTCTTCTAGCTCACTGATGAGGTCCTCTGCTTCTTCTAGTCTGCTCTTGATGCTTTCTATTGAGTTCTTCATAGTAGCAATGTCATTTTTCATTTCTTCTTGGTTCATCTTCATTTCCTCTTGGTTCTTTTTCATTTACTTTTGGTTCTTACTCATATTGTCAAATTTGTCTTCCATTCTTTTTAGCCATCTTATGATCATTACTCTGAATTCTTGCTCTGGTAGGTTGCTTGCCTCTAACTCATTTACTTCCTTTTCTGGTGATGCGTGCTTTTCTTTCATTTGTGGACTGTTTCTTTGTCACCCCATGTTCTCTCTTTTCAGGATGTCTGGTTATGTAGATCTCTCTCTCCTACATTGATTTAAAGGCACAAAATACAACACAACCAGGTACAACACACAAGGCACTGAACAGAAATGTATTTGCGATATTAATAACCTCCAATAAAGGTGACCACTAGGGAAAGGCAAATTAGGGGATAGGAGAGAAAGAAGAAGTGTAAAAAGAGAAGAGGGAGGGAGTAAAAGAAAAAGCTAGGAAATATATATATATATATATATATATATATATATATAGAGAGAGAGAGAGAGAGAGAGAGAGAGAGAGAGAGAGAGAGAGTCAAAATGAAATTGGGAAACAGGGAGAAGAAAAAAATAATAAAAAAAGAAAACAAAAAGAGAGTGAGAGAGAGAGACAAGAAAAAGACTATGGGAGAAAAGGGGAACAAACTATATATATGGGGAGAGAATTTCAATAGAACAACCACTAACCCCAGCAAATGCTGGTAACAGTATCTGGAGAATAATACAATGTACACCCCCACTAATATTCAGCAAAGGAAGGGAAAACAGATGTAAAAAACAAACAAACAAAAACAAAGCAAATAAAATAATACCAAGCAACAGTAACAACAAAAAAATAAGCAAAATACTTTCACTAAAAAGCATCAAAATACAATATAATCAACATTCATACAAACAGCATCAAAAGGACAGAGAGGCCAGGACAGGTTTGGCTCAGTGGATAGAGCGTCGGTCTGCGGACTGAAGGGTCCCGGGTTTGATTCCGGTCAAGGGCATGTACCTTGGTTGCGGGCATATCCCCAGTAGGGGGTGTGCAAGAGGAAGCCGATCGATGTTCATCTCTCATCAATGTTTCTGACTCTCTATCCCTCTCTCTTCCTCTCGTAAAAAATCAATAAAATATATTTTAAAAATAAATAAATAAATAAATAAAAATATATTAAAAAAAAAAAAAGGACAGAGAGGTAAACAAGTTATTTATTATTATTATTATTTTTTTTTTTTGCTAGTTAATACAGCTCAGAGAGGGGTGTGTATGCACTTGGCACAGAGGATTGGAAATTAGATATATAAGTAGGGAATAAATTTTAGCAGGGGGGAGACAGAAAGAGTTGGGAAAATCTAAAGCAGGAAAGGGTTAAGATAAACAGGATAGTAAAAGGGGAAGAGTTAGGAAGAGAGTGATGGTGTAAAGGTCATGTTGAGATAGGGTAAACAATGCTAAAGGGGAAATGGAGATATCGATAGAATGAAGAACACTAATTCCAATGTAAAATAAAGAGAAAATAAAAAGTTAAAATAGCAGTATTAATAATGCTGATTGAACCTAAAAATGTAATAATTAAAAAGTTAAAATCAAGTGAGGAAAAAAAGGAAAAAATTGTTTCTTAAGTAAAAGATGCAAAAAATGAAAATAAAATTTAAAAAATAAAAAATTTAGCAAAAACAGTGTGCAGTTGTGAAGGCCATTCACTTCTTCCGTTATTCTGTTTGGCACGCCTGTTTCTCAGTCCAGACAGTATTGCAGTTCCCTGTGTTCCGCTGCACCTCAGTGTTGTAAACTAGTCCTTAATTTTAAGATAGCGATTTCTGTATGAGAAGAGAAATACTCTATAGTCCTATGGATGGGTCCCAGCATTTGTCTTTTAGTGAGCCTGTGCGCCTGGACTATAAACTCACAAGAGCTTCTCAGTGCTCTCTCACCTCTTGGACATGGCAGGAGGGTAGAGGGAACTGGATTTGGATGATGCCCTTCCTGTGCAAGGAAGACTAGAAGAGGTTTTACTTGGGCATTATCCTTTTGTCAATTGCTTCAGCTCCTACAAAGAGCAGAAAAATGAAAACCTCATTATAAACAAGAGGAAGTGACTAGATATACTTGAATATATAAAAATATAATCATTGCAGTATCAACATGAAGTTGAGTATGTGAAGGTAAATATGGATGAAACAAGGACAAAAGAGCAGGCTCTAGAAACCAGGAGTAGAGAGGGTGAGGGCAGGGGGCTGCTGATCCATTTTCTCATTAGCTTTCTAGATGTATTTGACTTTAAAACGACATGCATGTATGACAGTGTCACCTGGCTTCTGTTCCCAGAGTGAAGGACAGGGATGGGGTAGCAAAGTGAGAGAGAAGAAGCTGACTGTGCCCAAGGGCTCCGTGCTGGCCTATAGGAGGAAGCAGCTCTATTTCTACGAAGATGAGTGGGGTAAGCAGAGGCTGGAGGAGGCGGGTGGGGTATGGGGGCCTGTTTCTCTTGGGAAGGGAATGAGAAGGGGAGACCATCATCAGGCAACCTTGGCTTCTGTACCTGTTCAGAGAGAAGCAGCATTTCCCAGCTGTCCAGGGCACACATCACCACTAACCATAGCCACCTTCAAGCAAAACTCCACTGAATTGTTGTTCCAGGAGGCAGAGACAGTATCCTACATGGAGAGACATAAGCATATCTTAGCTTTGGGCCAAGTGTGATCCTACTCCCACCCATCTCATTCAAGGTCCCTCCACTCTCAGCAGTTCACATGGGGGGCAAAGGGGGCACAGAGACCTCCAAGGTTACCCATACCTCCCATGGTAAAGCCTGTAACATATTGGCACAACCAGGAACAAAACTGAAAATGAAGTGTCCTGTCATGCAGAATTGTATCTGCATCTCTCTCTCCCTCATCTGCCTGAAAATGCACAGTTGCCCAATACCCAACTGGGTTCTGACTTCACATGGGAGAACCATTTGCATCAACACAATTACAAACCAGGTTCAATAGTGGGTGCTTTGAACACAACCAGCTCAGAATCCTTGGCCTCTCCCTGCCCAAATATGAAGTCCCAGGGAGAGGTCAGCCTGGTAAAGGTAGGGTCCAGCTTTTCAGAGATCAGGTGCCGATTTCATCATATAGAAAACCTCTCTCTCTCTCTCTTTCTCTCTCTTTCTCTCTCTCTCTCTCTCTCTCTCTCTCTCTCTCTCTCTCTCTCTCTCACACACACACACACACACACACACACACACACACACACACACACACAGCTTTCTACAGAGTCCTCCCTGCAACATCTGGTGACTGTAGGTCCTGCAGTCATTGACCTCCTGTCAGTGGAAATAGATGGAATGAGTATGAGGCCTTCATTCTTGTGGGGTCAGTGGCTGAACTCAAACTTCAAAACTATGCTTTCTAAGTGTTGACAAGTATGACCTAAATGGAAATGGACATTGAAGGCTAGCTCATAGCAGTGTCTGCAAGTCATGTCCTCCTCATAGGGCTTGTCTGTCTCTACAGTTCAGGCCTAAGGCTGGCTACAAGGTACCTTTATAAAGAATGGCCCAGTGCAGTGAGCATCACACTTCCATGAACTCATTCCATCCTCCTGACACTTAATAGAGTAAACTAATATGAAGAAGAGTTCAAGAACTTGCCATAAGCTTGCTTTGTGACTTCGGAGAAAAACAGAATTCCTCTGTGCTCCATCTTATCTATGAAAAGGAAGTGAGACACACTCTCTAGAGCTGATGGAGATAAATGTGTGATAAGGTGGCTGAGCCAAATCTATCTTCCCTCTCTCCAGTTCACCTGGACCCTTCCCCTGACCTGACCACAAGGTCAGGACACTGCCATCCCATAACCCCTCTCTCACGCGTGTCTCCTCTTCCCACCCAGTGTCCCCTCACAGACAAATTCCATAAAGAATCTTTTGCACTGGGCTCATTGCCTCTTTGGTATCCTTTCCTCATCACAGTGCAGTCTGTCCTGGAGGGAATTTCCTCACGTCATCATCAATGACCACACACTTGATTATTCCCTCCTTGGACTCTCTTCTCCCTGGATATTACATCACCATGGCCTATGGGGTCTCCTATAATGGGTCTGCTTTCCCTCTGCTTCCTTCCTTCATGGACTCCTGGCCCTTGTGAAAGACTTAAATCTCATTGTTAGGAGTTTCAGAAAGGTGAACATTCTCCAAGTGAGATGTGAAATCACCCAGGAGCCTGACAGGAAGGGAGTAGACATGAGGGAGGAGCCTCGGGGAGAGGAAGACAAAGAGCAGGAAGGAGGTGCTGTCCGTTCCATGGAAAAGACCCATCTCCAATGTGAGGTTAGAGTGGGTAACCATTGCCCAGGTGCCTATTAAAAAGGCAGGTTCTAGCTTCCCTTTTAGAGAGCCTGATGCAGAAGGTATGGAGTGAGGTGAGGAACTCTAATTAGTTTCCAGTGTCCCAGGTGATTCTGATGCAAAGGGTCCCCATGGTACTCTGAGCAGAGCTGCCACACCTGGCCCAGAGCAGGCAGTGTGGGGGCTGCAGGTGTGGGAATGTGAGTGGTTCCAGCAGGGATACCCTCAGCTCTCCTGACCTGGCTTCTTCCCACCCAGGCATTCACCACATCGCAGATGATGACGAAACCTTTCTAGCAGGTGAGTTGGGCAGGTTCTTTACTTGGACCTCAGGCCATGGTGAGCCCTTGACCCTCTTTGGACCCAGAAACACCCGCCTGGGGCTCAGTCCCAACAGACCCACAGGGAAACCTTCCAGAGCCAGCTCCTCCTCGTACCTCCTCATCTCCCTGCTGTGACCCACACTGGCCTCTGGTCACAGGAGAGCCACCCATCTTCTTTGAGTACTAGGGTGTGTGTGTGTGTGTGTGCGTGTGTGTGTGGAGGGGGATGAAAGGTAGTGGAGACCGAGACTTTCCAATGGAATAGCAGTAGGAATTCCACTTCACAAGTGAGCAGGTGACTTTAGTGCCAGAACTAGGGATGTGATCCCTACACGAGGCCCCTTTTACTACTGAAACCCACTCGATGGCCTTGCTGTCCTCTTCTGAGTCCCTGGGCTCTGGCTTTCTGGGCAAATGAAAGGGGTGGATGGAAATGAGGGCTTTGGGGAGTAGAGGGCAGACTGTAGTCAAATGTTAATCTTGAGAGACTAATTTTTGGGTGTAATATTTTGTTCTAGGTGCAATGGGACCTGCCACGCCTCCAATGGGTGAGTACATGTTTTCTGGTTTGGGAAAGGTACTCTTCTGTACTCATCTGATGAGCAGGGCAGATTAGTTCTCCCTTTGGCACCATATTCCTGGGGTCTGGCCGTAGTTCCTGTAGGCTGGAATGGGTAAGGATGCATGGTGAAAGGTCAGCAAAGGTGGGAAAGTTGGAGGGTTTGACAGGCATGAAGCAGAAAGAGGTTAAGCCATAGAACGGTGGCAGTAGAGGACAAAAGGCTTGGAAATGTCTCTAAAGCAAATTTGGTGGATGAGAGAGGGAGAGGACCAAGGGCATTCTTGTTCTAGAAAGAATACAGGAACCTTTTTGACTAGGAGTTTACTAAAGGGAACCTGAAGCCTGCTGGGTAGGGAAGTCTCAATCTCAGAACCCAATTGGAGGTTTCAAAGCAACACCGAAAATGGAGTTTTACTTCCAAATTATATTTCCCTTAGCCCCAGTTTCCTTTTTACTTTCCTTCCTTTATCTCCTTTTTTCATTCATTCATTCATTCATTCATTCGAATGCATGAATGATCAGTTCAAGGTCTTTGGTCTCAGTGCCCAAATGTTGAATCCCAGGTAGAGGCCAGCCTCATATGTCTACACGGAGATTGGGGGTTCCCAAACCACACATACCGGTAACATACTCTTGCTCTTACTCACCCTCCACACACGTGTACTCACTCACTATTATCTATAGCAGCGGTTCTCAACCTGTGAGTCCCGACTTCTTTGGGGGTTGAAAGACCCTTTCACTGAGGTCTCCGAACACATACTGCATATCAGATATTTACATTACAATTTATAACAGTAGCAAAATTAAAGTTATGAAGTAGCAACAAAAATAATTTTATTGTTGGGGGTCACCAAACATGAGGAACTGTATTAGGAAGGTTGAGGACTACTGCACTATAGTGTCCTCACTGCAACATGTGAACTTCTGGTGAGGGACTGGTCCTCCTCTCAGTGCTATTCTGTCAGTGGTAATACATGGAATGAATATGTGCTCTCCAATCTTGTGGGGTCAGTAGTTAAGCTCAAACTTCAATACTATGTTTTATAAGTGTTGACAGTGTGAGCTACATGGAGATGGACTTCAACGGCAAAGCTTACAGCAGTGCCTACAAGTCATGGCCTGCCCAAGGTGGTGTCTGCTTTTACAGTGCAGGCCTCAGTATTAGGAGTGTGTGTGTGTGTGTGTGTGTGTGTGTGTGTGTGTGTGTGTGTGTTTGCAGATGCATGAACACATGTGTGTGCGTGTATATTTGTGTGTGTGAGTTTGGGGAGCAGAGACAAAGCTGTTGTGAGGGACCAATTCTATTCCTCTTTCCAATAGCAATCATATGTCAACCACAGTCCTTAAGTGGACAGAGAGTATAAAGCGTGATCTTTCCATGAGGCTTCTTTTACTACTGAAACCCCACATGTTGGCCTTGCTGTCCTCTTCTGAGTCCCTGGGCTCTGGCTTTCTGGGCAAATGAAAGGGGTGGATGGAAATGAGGGCTTTGGGGAGTAGAGGGCAGACTGTAGTCAAACGTTAATCTTGAGACTAATTTTTGGGTGTAATAATATTATGTTCTAGGTTCCATGCAACCTGCTGCTTCTCCAATGGGTGAGTACATGTTAGCTGGGGTGGGGAAGGTCCTCTCTGTACTCATCAGGTGAGCAGGGCAGATTAGTTCTCCCTTTGGCACCATAGCCCGGGGTCTGGCCATAGTTCCTCTAGACTGGAATGGGTAAGGATGGATCGGGTAAAGTCAGTACAGGTAGGAAAGTTGGAGGGTTGGACTGGCATGAAGCAGAAAGAGGTTAGGCCATAGAATGGTGGCAGTAGAGGACAGAAGGCTTGGGAATGTCTCTAAAGCAAATTTGGTGGATGAGAGAGGGAGAGGACCAAGGGCGTTCTTTTTTTAGAAAGAATCCAGGAACCTTTTTGACTAGGTGTTTACTGAAGGGAACCTGATTCCTGCTGGGTAGGGAAGTCTCAATCTGAGGACCCATATTGGAGGTTTACAAGCAAATTTAAATTTGGAAGTAAAACTCAGTTTTCACACTTCCCTTTAGTCTTAGTTTCCTTCCTTCCTTCCTTCCTTCCTTCCTTCCTTCCTTCCTTCCTTCCTTCCTTCCTTCCTTCCTTCCTTCCTTCTTCCTTCCTTCCATCCTCTCTTTTATTTATTCACTAGAGGCCTGGTGCATGTCATTTGTCCACAGGGTGGAGGGATGTACCTCAGCTCAGCCTGCACCTTCTCCAATATGGGACCCCTTGAGGGATGTTCATCTGCCCTTTAGACCCAATCGAACATCCCTCTCACAATCAGTACTGCTGGCTCCCAACTGCTTTCCTGCCTGCATTCCTGATTGCCCCTAACCATTTCTGCCTACCAGCCTGATCACCTCCTAACCACTTCCATTCTAGCCTGACTGATGTCTAACTGCTTCCCTGCCAGCCTGTTTGCCTCCAACTTCCCTCCTCTGCTGATCTGGTCACCCCTAACAGCCCTTTCCTACAGAGTTGATCACCTCCAACTGCCCTCCCTTGCAGACCTGATGCCTCCCAACTACCCTCCTCTGCTGGCCATCTAGTGTCTACATGGGGGCAGGATCTTTGACCACATGGGGCCAGCCATCTTGTGTGTTGGAGTGATGGTCAATCTGCATATTACTCTTTTATTAGATAGGATTCCTTTATTTGATTGTCTGCAACAATCAAGTCAACATTGTTGGTTTTTGTGCCCAAATGTTGAATCCCAGGTAGAGGCCGGCCTCATATATCTACTTAGAGATTGGGGGTTCCCTCAGTACACATAATATACTCTCTCTTTCTCTCAGGTCTCCTCTTCGCCACACACATATGTACACATTCACTATTCACAGTAGTGTCCTCACTGCAACATTTGGTGAAGGGCTGGTCCTGCTCTCAGTGACCTTCTGTCAGGGATAATAGATGGAATGAGTATGACCTCTACAATCATGTAGGGACAGTAGTTAAACTCAAAGTTCAAAATTATAAATGTATATAAAATATGCTAAGTGTCTGACAATCTGATGGGTCATTATGATGCGCACTGACCACCGGGGGATAGACGCTTGATACAGGAGCTATAGTATTGTGCACAGAGAAATGGCACCACGGACCTGCTGCCCAAAAGGCAACATTCAGCTTCCCTCATTTGGGACACAGCCTGCCACCACCCCCAAGCAACAGTCCACTGCTATTATTGCAGCTAAAACTGCCAAGAGCCCACGGAACAAAATGTGGCCCACAGCCCAGCTCAACCCCTAAATGGTTGCTGTGGGTGTCAGGCAATGATGTCATATAGAAATGCCTGGCTTTGTCTCCCTAGTGATGTCTAGCCTCCTTCCAGTTGCTTCAGCCCAGGAACATGACTTGCTTTGTAATTAGGTGCAAACATTTCACACTAACCAAATGTCTGTGAGGCATTTTTTTCGAGTCTCATCCCATTTGATCCTCAGAGAAGTCCAGAAGTAGGTAGATAGGAGACTCGGTGGAGTTCTATTTTCTTTTCTACAGCTGGAAAATGGAGATTTAGAAAGTTTAGAAACTTTGCCTGTCTGAAAGAAGTAAGAAATGATGGACCTTGAAAATGATTTTAGGTTTTCTTGCTGTGTAGAATATAGTCAAACACTGTTGTAGTTAAATATTTTACCCATGTTCCTGTGCAATCCTATACAATAAAGTGGTAATATGCAAATTTACTATCACTCCAACACACAAGATGGCCACTACCATGTGGTCAAATATGGCCACTCCCATCTGGACACAAGATGGCCGGTAGGGGAGGGCAGTTGTGAGCAATCAGGCCAGCAGGGGAGGGCATTTGGGAGGGACCAGGCCTGAAAGGGAGGGCAGTTGGAGATGACCAGGCCTGCAGGGGAGGACAATTGGGAACAACCAGGCCAGGAGGGGAACAGTTAGGCATTGATCAGGCTGGCAGGGAAGTGGTTAGGGGGTGATCAGATTGGCAGGTAGAAATGGTTAGTGGCAATCAGGCAGGCAGGCAGACAAGTGGTCTGGAGCCAGCCATCCTGGATTGTGAGAGGGATGTCTGACATACCTTAAGGGGTCCCTGATTGGAGAGGGTGCAGGTTGGGCTGGGGAATACTCCCTGCACGAATTTTGTACACCAGGCCTCTAGTCTACAATGATCTGCTTTGTGTTGATATTTACTGCTGTGTTGCTGACAGTTACCTCAAAGAGAAGTTGTGGTGCTTCACTGGGCTGGGAAAAGTTCAAATTAGAAAGCAGGTCTATTTATGCAAGTTTATTCTGTATATATAAAAGACTAAGTTGATTTGTGCATGCTCAAACATATGAAGCTCTTGCTGGCTCCAATAGTACGCATGTATTTCAAACTGTCATTGTCAATCGTGAATTTGGTTCACATTTCTATTATAAAGAAAGGGAAAATAGCAATATTAAAATATTTCTTCTAATTAATTTCTGTTCAATGTGCACAAATTTGTGCACTGGGCCACTTGTATTTTATAAGTGTTTACAAGTTTGAACTAAATGGAAATAGACTTTGAAGGCTCAGCTCACAACAATGTTTACAAGACATGCCCTGCTCATGGGGCTTCTCTGTTTCTACAGTTCAGGCCTAAGTTACTAGAAGGAACCTTTACAAAGAATGGCCCAGTGCCATGAACATTGCACTTTCTTGAACTAATTCCATCCTCCTAAAACTTCATAGAGTAAACTAATACAAAGAACAGTACAAGAACTTGCCATAATGCTTGCTCTGTGACTTTGGAGAAAAGCAGAATTTCCTTACATCATCATCAACAACCACCCATTTGATTATTCCCTCCTTGTACTCTCTTCTCTTTGTATATTGCATCACCATGACCTATGGGGTCTCCTTCAATGGGACTGCTTTCTATCTGTCTCCTTCCTTCATGGATTCCTGGTTAAAGACTTAAATCTGATCTTTAGGAGTTTCAGAGCATTGAACATTTCTCTATGTGAAACGTAAAATCATCCAGAGGCCTGGCAGGAAGGGAGTAGACATGTGAGGGAGGAGCCTTGGGGAGAGGAAGACAAAGAGCAGGAAGGAGGTGCTGTCCTCTCCATGGAAAAGGCCGATCTCCAATGTGAGACTAGAGTGAGAAGACATCACCAAGGTGCCTATTGAAAAGGCAGGTTCTAGCTTCCCTTTTAGAGAGCCTGATGCAGAAGGTATGGAGTGAGGTGAGGAACTCTAATGAGTTTCCAGTGTCTCAGGTGATTCTGATGCAAAGGATCCCCATGGCAGTCTGAGCAGAGCTGAGCCACACCTGGCCCGGAGGGGCAGTGTGGGGGCTGCAGGTGCTGGGATGTGAGAGGCTCCAGCAGGGATACCGTTGGCTCTGCTAACCTGGCTTCTTCTCACCCATGCATTCACCACATCTCAGATGATGATGAGAGAGCAGGTGAGTTGGGCAGGTTCTTTACTTGGACCTCAGGCCATGCTGAGCCCTTGACCCTCTTTGGACCCAGAAACACCCTCCTGGGGCTCAATCCCAACAGACACACAGGGAAACCTTCCATAGCCAGCTCCTCCTAGAACCTCCTTATCTCCCTGGCCCTTGTCATAGGGAGAGCCACCTGTGTTTTTGAGTAGTAGGGTCAGTGTGTGTGTGTGTGTGTGTGTGTGTGTGTGTGTGTGTGTGTTTGTGTGTGTGTGGTGGTGGTGGTGGGGGGGATGGAAGGGAAGAGGAGTGGAGACTGAGTCTTTCCAATGGAATGGCAGTAGGAATTCCACTTCACAAGTGAGCAGGTGACTTTAGTGCCAGGAACGTGGGATGTGATCCCTCCATGAGGCTCCTTTTTGCACAGCTGAAATCCCAGGTGATTGTCTCATTCTCACCTGACCCACTGGACTCTGGATCCATGGACAAAGGGCAGGGGTGAATTTGGACAAGAGAGGGTTGGGGAAAAGGGACAGAATATAGAGAAACCGAGATTCTTCAGGCCTGGCTGTAGTTAATTTAATTTCTCCTGTAGGCAGCACAGGACGCTCTATCCACCCAATAGGAGTGTGTGTTTGCTGGGGTTGGGAAGGGTCCTCATTGTACTCATCTAGTGAGCAGGGTAGATTAGCCCTTTCTTTGCCACCATGGCTCAGGGGCCTGGCTGTAGTTTCTGTGGGATGGAAGGGCCAGGAAGCATCAGGAAGAGTCAGGAATGTGGAGGGATGGACTGGGATTAAGCAGAAAGAGGTTAAGCAAAAGGATGACAGCAGTAGAGGGCAGGAGCCTAGGAAGTGTCTCTAAAGCAAATTAGGGGGATGAGAAAGGGAGATGACCTCCTGCCATTCTCTTTTTAGGAAGAGTGCAGGAAGCCCTTGGGCTGGGTGTTCACTTGGAGGGAACCTGAGTCTGTTGGGTAGGAAATGGCAAAGATCAGAACCCAAATTGGAGGTTTCCAAATGACTCAGAAAACTGATCTCTAATTCCAGATTTATACTTTGGTAATGGCTACTTTTCATTAATTAATTAATTAATTAATCAATTAATTATTTAATTTATTCATTCATTCGTGGATGCATGCAGCCAACATTTATTGAAAGCTCATTGGGTAGAAAGCATTTTCTGAGCACTGGGATAGGGCAGTGAAGTAAACAGAAATGCCTGTCTCCCTGGTGCTTCCATTCTAGTGCCTTCTCACTCTCACAAGGTTACCTGGAGGCTACCTCAGGTATCCTGGCAGAAGCAGGCAGCCCCCAATATCCACTCCTTGGTTAATTCCTTATGGACCCTGAAGATACAAGCACAACTGCATGTATTATCAAGCACTTTATATCTACACCACTAAAAAAGAAATATGCAAATTGGCCATGTCCCCGCTATGCCCAACAGCCAATCGGGAATGAGTATGCAAATTAACCCAACAAAGATGGTTAATTTACATATGCAGGCACGGGGCAGGGGACAGAGGGAGCTACAGGTGTGGCTTCAAGTGGGAGCGAAGAATTATAGGCTCACGAGGGACTGGGACGCAGTCAAGGGAAGGAATGCCTATTCTTGCATGAATCTTCATGCAATTGGCCTCTAATATTCATATAATCGTCAGGAAAACCTCATTTTTATTCCAATGCTGGAATCTCTGACATTTTCATCTCTGGAGTCTAATCTATAATCCACATTATTTCCAACGTATCTCAGAAGTGAGCACCTGGTCAGTTTCTTCCTTTTCTTGTGACCCTTTCCCAGATCCTTTCTTTTCATCCCTGGATGTACCCCCCACCGCATTTCAGTAGAGACTCTCCATCTTTCTAGCCTTTTGTGGCACTTCCATCCCAGAGCTCAAACATGCCATCTTCAGAGATGCTCTGGGGCAGTAACTTGAAGGGAAGAGGAATTTTGCTCATGTTGGAGGGGAAGGAATGTTCTAATCTGAGAATTGTCTCCTTTCTCATGGCATTAATGCCCGAGGGCAGATTTCAAGCAGCTGCAAGAGGAGGTTTCCCAGAAAGTAAAAGCTTTCGAGCTCTCAAAGCGCTTGCATTGTGTTGTGTTCTCCAACCTCCTGGAGATGCTTGGGGACCGCAAGGCTCTTCATGACCTCCTGGAGAAGGTGAGGGGTCTGCCGCTCCCTAAGGCTGATCTGAGTTGTAAATGGGGGCTATTTCAGGGGTACGGCTGCCAAGTCATGTGGGGAAAGGAAAATGGGGTAATGTTAGGGGGATGAGTAGGATGTCTGAGGTTGGGGACTATGCCCCTGTGCCCAATGAATAGGGCCAGGGAAGGCAGCCCTCACAGACTGGGGGTACCTGGAGCCATTACCCCCACTCCTTGGTTAATCACTTGTAGATGCAGAATTTACAGGTGAAATCACTGATGTTATCACCATCATTAATAAGCCCTGTCTCCCATAGCTTGAACTGGAACCCTTCGGGCATTTGGATGGCCCTGGTGGCACCATCTTAAGGGAACTACGAAAGGAATCCCGCTATCTACGGGTTGACTCACAGTTCCTCCTCCTCTACCTTCTTGAAGCCTTAATGGGTAAGAGTGGTTGGAGAAAGAATGGGGGAGTCACAAGAATGGAGCCCCAGAGCCCCAAAAGGGCTGCATTAGGTGATACCTCTCCAACCCCCTCGGCATGTTATGATTCTCCCCCCCCCCCCCTTCACCTCACAGGCCTCTCCGCGGTCAGGAGGGTTCCGTGTGATAAGCTTGCCCTGTGACAGAGCCGAGACCCGCAAGGCCAGCCAGGTTCACGCAGTGGATCGGGGGGGCGGGGATGCCAGGCCCAGCCACTGAAGCCCTCCCTGGACCATGTTAGGGAGCTTCCTGGAGACCATCCCACGAGCAGGAGCAGAAGGAGAACTTCCCAGCGCAGGGAACTTGACCTTCACGGCGAGTCAGCGAGTTTTATTCCTCTGCCTTAAAGTTCGTTTATAAAGGCCTCTGCGTTCACCATGGGGAGAGGAAAATCTGACTCTTTCCCCAAACGTCCCCCTGTCCCCAGTGCTGAGTGACATCCAACTTGGTCTTCTGGCTCAGTCCCTGGAGAAGAGGATCCTCCTCCCGCAGAGGGACCTGGTGAGCAGTCCCCAGGGGCGGGCGTCCTGGGAATAGAGTGAGGGAAGTGGGATGAGAATGGTTCTGAGAAAGGAGAGATGACTCGGTTGCTGCTGGGAGGGAGGACTGGGCATGGGCCTGGGAAATCGGGGCTGCATCTCTGTCTGGGAAACAGGCCAAGTGCGCATGAGTCTACCTGGGGATATAGGTTTGGGGATCTCAGGGCATCTGAGTTATATCCCTGCTGTACTCACATGGTTACCATTTGCAAATGCATGCTCTCTCTCTGTATGCATCTATATGTAAGTACATATGTGTGTGTAGACATGTACATATACACATTGTACATGCAGGCATACATACACAATTCCAAACCCCCTATTTGCTGAGTGTCAGTGTCACTATCCAGCAGCCGAGGAGCCAGTGCTCAGTGATGTGGCCCTTGACCACACTGACCGCAAGAATAGGAACAGGTCCAGACCCCAAAGCTCCCTTCCCCACAGTCCCCCTGCATGACCCCTGGCCCTTGAGACAGAAGGTTCTCTCTTCCTGACCTCAGAGGTGACCTGTAACATCTGATACTGTCTCTTCAAGGTGAGGAGCATCCTGGAGTCCAACTTCAACTGCTCTCAGAACACTCCCTTTACCCTCCAGCCTGAGCTCCTCGCCCCACTTCAGGGGGAGGGCTTGGATATCACCTATGGGCTGCTGGATGAGTGTGGCCTGCAGATGGAGCCAAACAGCCCCAGGTCAACCTGGAACCCAGAAGCCAAGGAGCCCCTGTCTGCCCTCTACGGGATCCTCTCCGTGCTGAAGCAGCTGGCTGAGGCCTGAGCCCCCCTGGGGGTCAGGCCAGGGAGTCAGTCCAGTGAGGCTAGTCAGTCCTGGTCCTGCCGTTTGCTGCAGACACCCGCAAGCTGTTCTCTGTATCCGCAAGTCTGTATCTCTTCCATATATAAGGGACAGACAGTCCCTGCTTTTCTTTGTTTGATTTATTTCACCTAGCACAGGGCCTTCAAGTTTGTCCATACTGTCACAAATGGCAGGAGACTGGCTGCTGAGTGGGGGGATGGGTTGGAAAGTGGGGGGCATGTGTGGATGTAGGGAGAACATTGAAGCAGTTTCTCTAATTCCTCGGGCACTCAGTGGTATATTTTAAAAGGTAGGAGCTTGAAAAGTAGATATATTTAATTCTGCTTTGAATAGATCCCGGGAATACGTTGGGGATATATATGTAAACTCATAGGATCACATCTTCCTGCTTACATCTATTGAATGACTGATTGGCGCTATTTTCTAATGAACTTATAATTTACACCAGAAGATGGCAACATTGCCGCACAGCAGGACTTGGTGATGGCAGACACTTTCCTTGATTTGCTTTGGGACTTCTGAGTTAAAAGCTGGCCCCTCTCTCTACTCTACTCTCCCACCTTCCTCCCCTGCTTTTCTCTCCCCCTTTGCTGCTTCCCTACTGCATTTAACATGGCATAGGCTGGCAGAAATGGGGCTGGGGCAGTGGAAGTCAACACTAGCTTCTTTTTCTAGCTTCTAGAATCTTCCTTTTAATAAAAACGCTGCAATGGTTGTATTGAATAATTCCCATAAAGAGCTCTGGGAGGTAAGACATGAGTTATGGGGAACTTAGAACTGTTTCCAGGGTTTTCAGAAACGTTTTTTCCCAGAAACACCAGCCCTTCTGCCAGGATTACTATGGGTTCTGTGGGAAATCTGCCGTCTCATGCTGAGCCCAGGCAGGAGCCAGGAAGAGATTGAATGTTGCTCAGTAAGCAGGGCACATAGTTTCTGAATGAATTCAGCCAAGCACGGGAACTGTTTCAAAATATTACAACCTTGGTCAACCCATCAGAAAGCAGGGCTGGTGCAAATGATATGGGTCTTATAATCTGATAGATAGAGCACCTGAATTAACCTGAAAAATAATCATGTTACTTTCAATCTTAGAACACATACACTTCTTGAATAGGGGGTTAAGTTTTTTCCTAAGTTTCCTTTCCAAGGCCTGTGGGAAGCAATGGAGATGACTCAGCTGTCAACTCAGCAAGCAGAACTGATAAGCATGGTCAGACCAGGAGTCAAAATATCTCATCAACATCGTTTCCTTACCTGATGGCTAAGGACAATAGGTGACCTCCAGGGACCCTCAGGTTGCTTATAGCTGTATTCCCTTCCCAGTCCCCCCCCCTTCCCCTGGACCTTTGCTGTAGAACCCTGTCCCCTGCTCATTGCTGTGAGAAAGGATTTGAATGCTTGTAAGCACCCTCTCTTCTTGGTTGGCTGGCCTTCGCAATAAATGTCTTCTGTGATTCGACCCTGCCTTCGTTATTGGACACGGCGACAGGCAGCCTGAGCCCCTCTGGGGTTCCCTGGTAACAAAAATGTGGGGATTTGCTGTCTTAGCCCGTCCTCAGGAAGACTTGCCTCTGCACAGGTCTGGGCGTGGAGTCTGAGGTCACCACTGGCAACCTCTACTTGGACAACTCCATCCTCCCGGCTTCCTTTTTCTCGCTTTCTTGGGTTGTTATTGAATCAAATTAAATAATATCTTTGAAGAACCTACCCCAGTGCCCAACATGTATAATAGGTGACACTCAACAAGCTGTTCTCCAGTGAATTGAACCCAGACAGCAGTGAGGGAGGCCTTGGAAGCCTGGGAGTCCCTGCTGTGTTCCCACAGGCAGCCCCAGAAGCAGGGGGTGGGAGGAGGGGTCTGTGGTCTGGGATGCTGAAATCACTCCTCAATTTCTAGAAATTCCCAGGCAGGGGAGCATGTCTAAGGGTGCTCCTCCGTCTGGTGGAGACTCTGGGCCCTGCTGGTCTGCCTGCTCCACAGCCTGCAGTAGAGCACACATCATTAGTTTGTGTTGTTTTTAACATCAGGGGTCTTTGTATTTGAATACAGGTAGCCCTGGGTATCTGATTTGGCTTTAAATCCACCTTGCCCTAGTTGTCAGAGGCGACCAGACAGAGATTTGCTGCCATGACCCACCTCCTCCTTTCTGAGGAGGTGGGAGCGTCTGGGCTGACAGTCTCGAAGGTCAGGGAGGAAGGGAGTGCGTGAATGGAGTGTGGGTAAGCTGTGCCAGGCCTTCTTCCTTGGCCTTTTCAGGCCAGCAGGGGCCAGGAGAGTGCTCCCACCTGTCCCAGATGTCCTGGGAGCAGAGGCAGGAGGCCTCCAGGCAGCTCAAGTCAGAAAGGTGGTGCAGGGGCACCATGCCAAGCTGGCCTTCGAGTGAATGTCTCTGGTGGCGTTGCTTCTAGGGGATGTCTAGACAGTCCCCACATGGGCCCGGAGGCTTTCATTCCCCTGGGCTTGGCCTCTCAGGCTGTGTCATTGTTGATTGTTTGTCCCCCGGATACAGCAAGGCCCTGTATTCCTTCTACAGGCAGTTCCCTCCTTCCTTCCCTCAATACGAGGGACCAATCATGCAAGTGCTAACAGCACTTTTGAGATAATTTCTTACAGTTCCTGCTTAATTAATTATGTTGGCCAATGGTTCTTTGTTAAAAAGTCTCCTTTTTATTGGTTAAGCTATGCCCGTTTCTGGGTGTGAGTCTGTACAGGTGTCCCTAAGACACTGGACACCAGCTTGTCTTTCGATGAGGTGATCTGCACTGTTCACCGAGTGCACACAGATGCCAGGTGTTGGGGATACAGGAGTGAAACGTCTGTATTTCAATAACTGGCACCTCAAGAAAGGTGAAACCGATCACCCCAAAACCTGGCTTACCCAGCACGCATTTGGCTTACGTCCCCCGCTCCTGTGGGTCGGGGATTTGGGAGCGGCCTCAGCTGCGGGTGCAGGCGTGGGGCCCTCCTGTGACTGCCTCTGAGGCTGGAGGCCGCAGCCCCCTGCTGGCTCCCTGAGGCAGGTTTCCCATGTGGCTGTTGGCAGGAGGCCTCGGTTCCTTGCCCACAGGTGGCCCGAGTGTCCTCGTGACATGGCAGGTGGCTTCCCTCAGAGTAGACGATGAGAGGGAATGGGAGAGGGAGCGGGAGGAGAGAGTTTGATGACCTAGTCACATACCCTGAAAACTGCCATCTTGTATTTGTTAGAAGCCAGTCGGCAAGCTCAGCTCTTGAATGGAGGAAGGATTTGTGGACTAATTTTAAAACTGCCACATAGGCGCGCGCGCGCGCGTGTGTGTGTGTGTATATATATATATATATATTTTTTTTAATTTCTTTATTTAATGTGGTGGGCTGGCCATGGCATACTCAGCCCCAGGGTGCCTTATGTACCACACCAGCTCAGCCAGGTTCGGTGAACCCGAGAGGGGGCGGTGAAGGATGGAGAAAAGACAGACAAGAGAATGAAAGCTGGATCTCGGTGGGCTGCTGCTTCTCTGACGGGGAGACAGTGCCGCAGACTATAACCCATGTTATAGCAGATGCCAGGAGGCAAAGTAAGGGCATGGTCAAGATGTTTACAACGTTCTCATGGGTTTCAGTCCCACTCTATTACATGCACCTGATCAAGCTTTGTTTACTTGCAGCCTCTATCACTCAGGCACGTGGGGTCACGTGTTAGGACTATAGGTTCAAGCTCACAACTACAGCTGTTGGCTATCATGGTGCTGGGAGGCTCTGCCCTCCACGCTGGGACTTGCATGTGGCCACGAGAGGACTGTGCCCTCTCATCAGCCAAGGCTTGAACCTGTCCAAACACCGTAGCTGCGCCTCACAGTTTAAAGTATTACATATGTCTCCTTTCCCCCCCATTGACCTCTCCCTGGCCGCTCCCACCCCCCAGCACAGACCCTCACCCCTTTACTGTCTGTGTCCATTGGTTATGCTTATATAAATGCATACAAGTCCTTTGGTTGATTTCTTTTTTTTAAAATATGTATTTTATTGATTTTTTACAGAGAGGAAAGGAGAGAGATAGAGAGCTAGAAACGTCGATAAGAGAGAAACATCGACCAGCTGCCTCTTGCACACCCCCTACTGGGGATGTGCCCCAAACCAATGTACATGCCCTTGACCAGAATTGAACCCGGGACCTTTCAGTCCGCAGACTGACGCTCTACCACGGAGCCAAATTGGCTTCAGCCTTTGGTTGATTTCTTACCCCCCCTTCCCCCCAGCTCAACTGCTCCTACCCTCCTCTGCCTTCCCTCTGAGGTTTGATGGTCTGTTCCATGCTTCTATGTCTCTGGCTCTATTTTTGCTCATTAGTTTATGTTGTTCTTTATATTCTACAGAGGAGGGAGATCATGTGGTATTTATCTTTCCATGACTGGCTTCTTTCACTCAGCATGATGCTCTCCAGTTCCATACATGTTGTTAGGAATGGTACGAGTTCTTTCTTTCTTTACAGCAGCAGAGTATTCCATTGTGTAGATGTACCCCAGTTTCTTAATCCACTCATCTGCTCATGGGCACTTAGGCTGTTTCCAAATCTGAGCTATGGTAAATTGTGCTGCTATGAACCTAGGGGCGCACATGTTCTTTCTGATTGGTGTTACATCTTTGTTTTAATACATCTTCTGAGGTCATGGTTCCCTCAGGGTGCACAAGCAGGCCCTAATACCTACATATTCATTTCTTCATTCATTCATTCATTCATTCATTCATTCATTCATTCATACAACAAATAGTTGTTGAGCCCACTACTTGCCAGGAATCCCAGCATTGAAACGTTCCTCTTTGTTTCTCCACTGGGCCTCTGGAAAGAGTAAAGGATGCCTGTATCTCCCTAAACAATGTTTCCTAGAGTAACCCACAAATGGAGGGAGGCAAGGGTGCACCGCACCCAGTCACACACTGAGGGTGCCTTTGCACTGGATTCAAGTGCATTCTGGGTCCCTTT